ATGCCGGCATCGAAGTCTGCCTCAGAGGATCTTTTGGCCATGAGCTGCCATTCTTTTTCTGGTGCTGTGGTGTGCTTCGATGTGTGTTTGGTGAGTGGGCGAGCTGCAGTCATCTCCTGCATGGAGAGCGAGAGGCTGCAGGACATGCAAGTGCGCATTGCAGGGGAGCTGGAGTTGGGGAGCGATGATGGGAGTCCGTTACTGCAATTTTTCAGGCAGGCTGGCTCACAGACGGAGCCCCTGGATCAGAGTACCCGTGCCGCGGAGCTTGTAGGTTGTACCATCCATGTTGTGTTGCAGGAACACCCTGAATGGTATGTGCAGAAGTGCTTTTCGAGACGTTCGGCAGCCGATTTAAGTTGGGACGTGGAGGAGGAAAAGACAGAACGCTTCTCGTTGCTTCCAGATGGCCAGTTTACCTACGAGATGAGGAGACTCGCATGGGATGAAGATGTTGGGCGACTGGCTGTCAAGGAGCATACGCTACAGGGAACAGGGAGATGGCGATGCGTGTTGCAGGTGGGCATAGAGGGCACGTTGCCTGAAGAGGTCCTGCTCTTGGACGGCAGCGCCAACTGGCTGTCGTTTGGGCAGGGTGGCCGCTCGGCCTCCCAACGGATCCGGCGGGCCCTTCCGAAAGTGGCCCTGAAGGACTATGAGATCTCGCTGCTGCTCATATGAGCAGCTGTGCAGCGGCCCCTTTGTGAAAGAATGGGCCGTCTCTCTGTTGGTCTAGGAGAGATACAGAATTTTGTTGGCCTTGGAAGCACTTGTCTCTAACCCTATGCCCTAAAACTCCAAGCCCCAAACCCCAAACCCTAAACCCCAAACGCTAAACCCTAAACCCAAAAACCTAAACCCCAAACCCCAAAACCCTAGCAGCCCTAACAGCTCGATCGCACAAGTGCTTCCTGGCGGCCGGTACATCTGCGGTGCCAGCTTCTCCCCTTGAAGGCGGCTTGAAGCAAGGTTGAGTTTCCGAAGTCCTAAACCCTAAACCCTAGCCCTAAACCCTAAACCCTAAACCCTAAACCCTAAACCCTAAATCCTAAACCCTAAGCCAGGTTCTGCGGTCCCCAACCCAAACTTGTTGGGCACACCGAGCACGGGAGTCGTGCACAGCATGCGAGTGCCAGAGCGTGAGGGTGTGGAAAGGAGGGCTTAGGGTTTAGGGTTTAGGGTTTGGAGTTTAGGGTTTAGGGTTTAGGGCTAGGGTTTAGGATTGTTTGGGGTTCAGGGTTCAGGGTGTGCGGTTTAGGGTAACGAGGGTTTGTGTTTAGGGTTTAGGGCTAGGGTTTAGGGTCTAGGGTCCAGGGTTCATGGTGACGAGGGTTGAGGGCAGAATTTCAGGCAGCTTAGGGCGTTCAGGAGGGGGCTTGTGTGGGGGGTTCAATGTTTTAGGGGCTTTAGGCTTGAGGCAATAGGCTTTTAGGTCGTAGGGTAACCCCAAACCCTAAACCCTAAACCCTCAACCTTCAGGGTTTTGGCGGGGCTTGGGGGCTAAACAGCCTTGACTGGGGTCGAAGGGTTCCAGGGTTTCGGGTTTCAGGGTTTCAGGGTGAATATTCAGGGATTCAGGGTTTAAGCACATTTCTTGAGGCTTTGGGGCCCCCGACACCCCAAAGTACAGCTTCTGCTGTTTTTGGGCCCCTCAAACTGTAAGCCCTAAGTCCTGAACCCTAACCCCTAAACCCTAAACCCTAAACCCCAAACCCTAAACCCTAAACCCTAAACCCTAAACCCTAAACCCTAAACCCTAATAAACGGTTCCGGGAGGGCTTCCTTCGAAAGTACCCTGGGGCGGCAGGATGAAGCTGTGGTCGGGCTCGAAGACTCCGCGCACGTACCAGGCAAAGTTACCGGGGTATCACTTCTGGAGTCCTGAAGCCCTAAACCCTAAACCCTAAACCCTAAACCCTAAACCCTAAACCCTAAACCCTAAACCCTAAACCCTAAACCCTAAACCCTAAACCCTAAACCCTAAACCTACACCCTAAACCCTAAACCCTAAACACTAACACCTAAACCCTAAACCCTAGTCCTGAACCCTCATCCCGCAACCCGAAACCCTCCACCCTCCAGTTTAGGGTTTAGGGAAAGCTTAGGGTCTTGGGTTTAGGGTTGAGGGACCGTCAGCCCGAGTCAGAGGTGTTTTCTGAGGGTTGTAAGGTTTGGTGTTCAGGATTCAGGGCTTTAAGGCCTTTTGGGGCTTAGAGCCCTAAGCCCTAAAGAGTTTGGCTCCAGTTTTCTTGTTGAACATCCCTTTGTCTTGCCACACGGAACCGACCCGCAAGCCACTCGGTCATTCGGTCCACGGCTTAGAGGGCGGTAGGGTTTAGAACTCAGGGTCTCGGGGTTGGGCCTAAACCCAAAGCCCTAAACCCTAAACCCGAAACCCGAAACCCTAAATCCTAAACCCTAAACCCTAAGCCCTAAACCCTAAATCCTAAACCCGAAACCCTAAACTCTAAACGTATGGCGGCCGGCGGAGCTCTTGAAACGGAGCCGAGCGCAGCATCGGTTCTTAATGCTGCCTCCTGTCAGTCGCCGCTGGCATAGGGTTCAGGGTTTAGGGTTTAGGGTTTAGGGTTTAGGGTTTAGGGTTTAGGGTTTAGGGTTTAGGGACCCTAAGCTCTAAACCCTAAAGATCTGGGGGAGCGGAGCCGTCTTTGGTTTAGGGCTTGGGATCCCTAAACCCTAAACCCTAAACCCTAAAAAACCCAAACCCCAAACACTAAACCCTAAACCCTCAGCCCCAAGCCCTAAGCCCTAAAGCCCCAAACCCACCTCCTCTGGAGGTGATCCTGGCTGCCTCGGAACTGGGACCCTATGTGCCAGGTCTTGGGCAGGCCCCAGTACGGGCTTCTGAGGGTTCAGGGTTTAGGGTTTCGGGTTTAGGGTTTAGGGTTTGGGGTTTAGGGTTTAGGGTTACGACTTAGCGCTTTTGGTCTTCCTACCGAAATTTCCTCGAACTGGTCCGTTTGCAAGACTCCGTGAACTCGGAATCCAGAGCCCCGAACCCCAAATTTTGTAGGGGGTTCATGCCCTTAAGGACCCTATATCCAAACTTTGCCAGCATCCTCCCAAGACATACAGCGACCTTAAGCTTTCCACAGCCCCTCCCATCCAAACACCTATAAACCCCGGAACCTTCCAAGCCTTGAACTAGGGGTTGTCGAGGGCGCAAACCCTGGTTCTGTAGGGTTTAGGGTTTAGGGTTTAGGGTTTAGGGTTTAGGGTTTAGGGTTTAGGGTTTAGGGCCCCTACACCCAAGACTCAAGAGGCCCCACAAGGCCCTGAAAGGCTTCCCTCGCCACCCCCCCCCCCCCCCCCCCCCCAAAAAAAAAAAAAAACCCTAAACCCTAAACCCCAAACCCCTAAACCCTAAAAACCCTAAACCCTAAACCCTAAACCCTAAACCCTAAACCCTAAACCCTAAACCCTAAACCCTAAACCCTAAACCCTAAACCCTAAACTCTAAGCCCCCCCAAAAAAAAGCAAGCCGCGAGGCACCCAAAAGAAACTCTCAAGCCTAGAGGAATGCAGCTTCTGGTTCAGAGTTGGGGTTTGGCGTTCAGGGTCTAGGGTTTAGGGTTCAGGGTTTAAGGTTTAGGGTTTAGGGTTTAGGGTTTCGGGGTTCCCTGAGCCCCAAGCCCGAAGAGGCGTACCACACCTCGATCTTGATCGACAACGTGGAGCGCCTCGGCCCTCCTACCACCTACAGGGTTAACCTTGCTTTTTTCTTAGGGTTGAGGATTTAGGGGTTAGGGTTTAGGGGTTTAGGGTTTGGGGGTTTAGGGTGTAGGGTTTGGGTTTTCCCGGGCTTTATAGGGAAATTATCATATGTTTGGTTTATTGGGCTCAGGGCTACCAAGGTAGAATAACCCTAAACCCTAAACCCTAAACCCTAAACCCTAAACCCTAAACCCTAACCCTAAACCCTAAACCCTAAACCCTAAACCCTAAACCCTAAACCCTAAACCCTAAACCCAAAACGCGGGTCAAGTGGCTTTCCAAAAGAGTTGTGCTATTTGGGGTTTGGGAGCTCTCTCCCGAAGCCAAACCTAAACCCCGGGAACCCTGACCGCTCCTGACCCCTGAACCCGAAACCCATTATTTCATCGCCAGGGCTGGTGGTCCAAAAGATGCTTTGACGGCCGCGTGCGCGACGGCCAAGGCTGACGCCTCTGCCCCGAGGATCACGACACAGGTGAACGATGCCTCCGGCCTTCAAGGCGCCTGCATTCTCCGGGCTAGGGTCGATCGTGGATGCAAGGGCCGGCACTGGCGTGATCAATCCACTGCGCGGGCTGCCCCCGGCGATGCACCGGGTAGCCACGCTGGACAGGCTTCGGCCGCGTGTGGTGTACGTCCACCGCATGAGCCCGTCGCCGAGTCGCGCCTATTGTTTCAAAGGCGAGCCAAAGAGCGTCTCGTGCTGCACGGAACTCTGTGTCCCACCTGATTGCCTCGGTCCTCGAGACCATCGATAGATGCTTGTCATTACAGACCTCTTCGCAGGTCTATGGGCATAAAAGCGTCATTGTACTCTAGAGTCTCCGTGGCATCAAGTAAACTACCCACAACGCCCCTCGGATGTCCTGTACAAGTCCCAATACAAAACCTTAATCGAGGTTTCAGCGCCCCATTAGACGATCCTCTCCACCACGTAGTCTTCTGTTCGGAATCTCGGGACAGGATCAGGGTGCACGGTTGTCGTACAGGCATCTAAATCCCCTATTGGTTGGAGGTACATTGTAAGAGGTATTTCCCACATGTTTGGCAAGCTAACCCTGGTGTAGGTATCCTCGGACCACGCGTAGTGTACGCAGCGGTCAACAGGAGTCTGAAGGAATCGGAGCAGGCGCCAACGCGCGCTAGCAGCACACACCGCGCACGACCATGAAGAAAAACAAAACCCTAAACCCTGAAAACTGAACTCGAAACCCTAAACCCTAAACCCGGACCCTGTGAGCCCTGACTCCTCAACCTCCGACCCTCGACATCGAGCCCTTGCTGAAGGTACGAGTTCGGAGGTGGCGGGATCAACGTGAGTGCAGCCCTCAGTGCTGTCTGGAGACTGCAGCTGTTCAGGGTCCAGGGGTTTAGGGTTTAGGGTTTAGAGTTTAGGGTTTAGGGTTTAGGGTTCGGGTTTAGAGTTTTGGGCTCTTGTTAAGGAGCTTAAAATCAAGTCACCAGAATGGGGTGATGTAGCAAATAGTCTTGTGCCCGTACTGTGGCAGCCTAGCTCAAGTTCCCTATCTGAAGCCGAGCAGTTCGACCCGATAATTCCTTGAACCCTACGAGATCCTTCACCTCAATGTACTGTTTGCCTAGAACCCGCAAAGAACAAAGAATAAGTATCCCTAGATGGCCCTTATACATTTATATGGAAGATGATCTTTTGGGGCTTAGGGTTTAGGGTTTAGGGTTTAGGGCGATAGGGACAGAAGTCCCTGTAAGCTCTCACAAAAGCCACACACGAGCCTGAGCCCCAAACCCTAAAGCCTAAACCCACTTAGGGTTTCGGGTTTAGGGTTTAGGGTCTAGAAGGGTTTATAGGGGTCCAGGGTCTAGGCTGTCAATCGTGCCTTACCGGCCGGAGCGACGGACAGCCCCTAAACCCTAGAACGTAAACGCTTAAGCCCTTCCGGGTTTAGGGTTTACACCCTAAACCCTAA